GCGTCCCACACGATTTCAATAGGGGTACCCTTATTCAAATTCATTTCAAAAAATTCTTTCATCTGCTTTTTAAGTTCTATTATATTTTTTTCATATCTAAACAGATTTTCATTTAATCTCCATGATCTTCTCTCTGTCTTTCCCATCTCAATTTCTATCCATACCGGGCTGTGGTCGGTTAAAGTCCTTGGAAAAATCTTTGTTCTTTTTGTTTTGACAAGTAAGTCAGCTGATAGTAAAATAAGATCAATCCTAGAAAAGGATCTGTGTCTATCTGAAAAAAAAGTAAAGTCCAATTCTTTTGGGTTATGTATTCTCCAGATATCTTAGAAAAGATTTTGGATTTCTAGTGAATGAATTAAAAAAACAACAAATTCCATTTTGGTGGGATGCTCCAACTGGCATAATCTTGAGGTATAATGGAGAAAGATACCGATTAAACACTGTTGAGAAGGCGGAACAATTTTACTCTAATGTTTTTAAAGAGAGTTCACCATCCCCACGTACATCTACTGTGTTGGAGATAAAGGAGAGTGATAAGGAGAAGCAACTCCAGCAAGAGATGGAAGAGCAGCTTAAGCAGGTGGAATCAGAGGCAATCGAAATGCAGGGAGCTACAGGAGGTTTTCTGGAGGAGCCCCTGCTAGACCTTCCTTCGAAAATTGTGATTGAACCACCTAAGACTACAAGAGAAGTGGCTTTGGACCTAGCCCGGATGTGTGAAGCTAAAGATCAGCGTATAACTCGAGCAATTTCTAAGCAACTTAAATAAAAACAACAACAGGAAAGGCCCAAGCCACAACAATATAAGAAAGGAGTCATGAGCAATATACAAGAATGTGAAGCCATGGGGGGAGCAAAGCCGAAGACTACCAATTCGGAAGATATTCGGCAATTCTGCTCGTCGCTTCAAAAAAATTTACATGACAATTAAGTTTTTATCTTGGAATGTGAACGGACTAAATTCACCACAGAAAAGGAAGAAATTATTTACATACTTGAGACAATTTAATAATGATATAATTTGCTTACAAGAAACTCATGTAAGAACACAAGATCAAAAATATTTGATAAATTCAAGATTAAGAACACATTTTATAGCCTCAAATTTGGAAAAAAAGAATGGGGTGGTTATTTATATAAATAAAAGACTGTCAGCTAAAATTATAGAAGCAGATGAAGGTGGTAGGTTTATAGCAATTGAACTGCACACAGCAAGTGGCCTAATTCTAGTGATTGGAATTTATGCTCCTAATCAACAACAGGATAATTTTTACAAAACTTTACATTCTAAAATATTGCAATGGGACTATAGATCTATTTTAATCATGGGAGATTGGAATGGAGTAATTGACTCTAAAATAGATAAAAAGAGTTCGGCGAAGTCAAGGATTAGACTACCACAGACTTTTTTTGACATGAAAGAAGATTTGGAATTTATTGGCCCATTCTTATCAGCTAATCTTTTGTAACTGATTTTGGGAAGGTATTGCTTTTGCTTTCTTTTAATCTTATACTAGGTTTAATTGTTACCCAGGATATAGTGTATTTGCACCAGAGGAACAGGATGTATATTTTAATAAAAAATAATCAAATTGATCACTTAATTACAAGGACATATTTTAGTATTAGATATCATTAACAATGACTAAAGGACCAATAGTTGTATATTTTTAAAATGCAACCAGATAAAAAAAATGTGCAGAAAATAAATCACTCCCAAAAAACACAGGTTCCCCTGAAATAATAGCTAGACTGACATCGTCTGGAGAAAAGATGAAATATTCCAAGAATATTCAGTTTTCCATATCCATACAAGTTTACCAATCAATGGAGGGACAGAGGGACAGCATACACACAAGTTGAAGAATTTCATATAAATGCAAAATCATAGGATTAAAAATCTGAAATAGCAATAGCACTTAGATTTATATACCACTTCATAGTGCTTTACAGCATTCTCTAAGTGGTTTACAAGAGTCAACATATTGCCCCCAACAATCAGGGTCCTCATTTTATTGACCTCGGAAGGATGGAAGGCTGAGTCAACCTTGAGCCAGTCAGGATCAAACTCCTGGCTGAGGGCAGAATTAGCCTGCAATACTGCATTCTAACTACTGTGCCACCACAGCTCCTGATGTTTTCACCTGATGGGCAATTGTCCCAGAAAGCAAATAGTGAGTGAGTTTTGGAAGCTAATGAAATTGCTGTGTCAATCCTGAGCCACTAATCAGCTGAGTATTTGGATGGAAAACAAAATAAAAGGAAACAGTAACTGAGGAGAAAGAACAAATCACCAGAAACTTCAAACTAATTAGAAAAAAAAAGAATATCCAAAGACAGTATCATAAGAGTAACACCTCCTCCCGCCATTCATCATTTCCAGATCTCAGGAACCACTGGGAAGCAGAATACCTTTAAACAGAAAACCCCCCATTATGCAGATTGGCTCCTAGGCAGCAGCAATGAAGAACCTCCATGAAGAAGCTGTGAAAATGGAAAAACAGCACTTTCACTCCTATATTATGATCCTGCTCAACTAGATTAATAAAAGACTCTTACTTTCCTTTTGTCATTTCCCAGCTGAGGAGAATGAACAAAACTTGATTTTAGAAAAGGAATTCAGTAAAAAAAAATGACAAAGGAAGTTTGGCTTGTATATTGAGTTGATACAGGGATACCAACAACTGCAAAACTCACCTTCAATTCTGCATACATTTTAGGCAATCTGTATTTAAAAAGTGTATACTAGTATTATTTGTTATTTTGTTTCAAATAAAGGCATGAATGGTATTCTATTTTTAATATACTATTTAAGTTTAGTTCTTTTTCTGATGGAAAACATTGGCAACATATTGGCAAATATTATATATATATAAATTATATATAAACCAAAGGGTAGGATTTTCTCCTCCCTGGGAGAGGTAAAGAAGAGATTATCGTGTGCTAGATATGTATTCAGTCTACATCTAGACTGAATTCCAAAGATCGTAATACAAAAAATGCAGATCTGGTTCTTTACAAAATTCACTCACTACTCGCTCATATACCTTTAATTTTATTTATCAGACGATTAGATTGTTAAATTCTCTTAATTTCTTGTGAACTAGGGAAGCATTAATGCACAGTTGGCAGAAGATCTTCTCCGTGCCTAAACTATTCATCAACATCAAACTAGTTTTCCAACATTCTTAAACCTGAATGTTCAAACCACTTCTAATGCCAGCATGACTCTTCACCATTCCAAGAATCACTTGATGTGCTGAATTTAATAATAATTTACATGTAAACTATAGATGTAATAATAAAAGAATAATTTATATACACACACACATACACACAATGCATTAAGATGGGTGTTACAAGTAATATGTAAAGAGGAAGGAAGTGGATTTTGCTTGAAGTACTCCACACTTTTGTAGGATTGCTTCTTGAAACGGTATAGACACACAAAAGAAAACTAGAATGTTGAGGTAAATGCAGTGTAAATTGCAATGTGATGTGTGTTTATAAGGAACAAGTGAAATCCATATTATTTCTGCTTCTGACAGGAGAAAAAAAATCCTTTCAGAACATATTATGAGCTTAAGGATTGGCACAACTCTTTCCCTCTTTTCACTGAAAATATGTACATGAGACTGTTGCTTGCTTCACTTTTTCACTCCAGAATATTTTTTTTGTAATTAAGTTAAGGTTGGCTCTGAAATTGACAATGTAGGTCTGGAATGACTTTGAACACTGTTATAGAAATAGAAAAGAAAGATAAAATATAATGGTGGATTTACATAATCGTGGGCATATAGAACTTATGGCTTCTCCTGGAACAGTATCTGTGGCCTTGGGGATCTTTGCATAAATTCATCTATGTGCCAATTGTACCCATTTCTGGACCTTATTCATTGTCATTTGTGCCTAGCCACTTCGCCAGTGGATTACTGCCACGCACTTTACATGAGGCTTCCAGAGTTAATTGTATGAGCTGCATTAGATCTCAGTTGTTTTCCAGGTGCAATTCAAGGTGTGGATAATCATCTTTAAAGCCCTACAAAGCAGGGTAGTTAGTGAGACTGCTCTTTACCCCATATGACCACCTCATTAGATAGGGGCACACTCAAGGTTCCCTTCCCTTAAATGCTGTCATCTGAGGTGACCTTAGCTCACATTTCTTCTGTAGCCACTGCAGCCCTTTGGAATAAACTCCCACCTTAGATTTGCTTCCTCCCCCCCCCCCCACACACACCCATTAAGCCTTCATTCTTTACTCAAGTACTCAAGTATCGGGCTAGGATGGAGTTGAGCCTGGAAGTCAATAGTTTGGTGGGAGGGCTGTTCTGATTTTTATTCTATTCTTTTTATTGGCTGTTATGAGTCACCTAGAATTACTAACTTGAGACAGGTGGCCATATACATTCTTTAAAGCAAATAAATCTGCCAAAAATAATTTTCCAAAAAGAAAAAAAGACGAAGGGCCAAGAAAACACTACATTAAATACAATTTAATTTGTATGCTGTTAGTATGGCTACTGTATGACCCTTTTGCCAATTAAAAAAATGACCATAATTTTTTGAAAGGGATACTCCCAGATTTGGGAGGTTGAATATACCGTTCCCCCAGAATAAGACATCCCCTGATAAGCCCAATTGGGCTTTTAAGCACATGGCAATAAGGCCAAGTGCTTATTTCAGGGTTCAAAAAAATATAAGACAGGGTCTTATTTTCGGGGAAACACGGTAGTCTCGCACATCTCTCTATTCCTGTTAAAGGAGAGGTTCTCAACTTTCTGTAGAGCTCATCTATAATAAATTGTCAACTAAGGTATTTTTTTTCAGGGCATTAATACTGCAGTAATATCTGCAACTAACAGATGAAAATGAGCAGGGCGAAACAATTACATAGCTAATAGGAGTAAAACATTATGTAGTACCCTATTAAATGAATGAAACTTTACTGGACTTTAGGGAGTTGGTTAAGCTAATCAGAAAAAGGGCGTTGGTCCTACCTGATACGCCCGTTCTCTCCCGCGGGAGGGAACGGCAGGCAGCACTGGGTAGGCTCAGTCAGTAGACCAATCAGGACTGGGTCTGCAATGAAGCTTAGCCCCGCCCTTCCTGCTGCTGTCTCCAGTTTATCGGCGAGGTAATCACTGCAGACTGTTGTGTGTCTCCTGCTGATAGAAAGCAAAGGTAAGTACAACCCACCCCGCCCCGACACCCGAAGGCGCAGCCCCAATAGGGAGGGGGCTGCCTGCCGTTCCCTCCCGCGGGAGAGAACGGGCGTATCAGGTAGGACCAACGCCCTTTCTCCTCCCTGGTTGGGAACGGCAGGCAGCACTGGGACATACCAAAGCTTGATGTCCAACGGGAGGGCAGTGCTCGGGCGAGCCTCAGATCAGGAAACATGAACCCGTTGCAGGACCCGTCTGCCGAATGCCGCATCAGCTGACGCGTAGACATCCAGACGGTAGTGTCTAATAAAAGGTGTCGGGGTAGACCAAGTCGCCGCCTTGCAGACTTCTTCCAAGGACGCTTGAGTAGCCCAAGCCGCGGAGGTGGCTGCACTCCTGGTGGAATGTGCAGTCACCCTGCTGGGAACCGCAAGCGATTGCGACTCGTAGGAAAAGGCAATTGTGGCCCGGATCCATCGGCCCAAGGTTGGAGCAGAAACCTTGGTTCCCATCGTGGTCGGTTGGAACGAGATGAATAAGGCTTCCGTCTTACGAAAAGAGGCAGAACGAGAAAGGTAGATCCGCAAGGCCCTGCGGACATCGAGCTTGTGCCACATTTTCTCGAGCCGGTGAGACGGGCGAGGGCAAAAATTGGGCAAGGCGATTTCCTGCGAACGATGGTACACAGAGTTCACTTTGGGAAGGAACGTGGGGTCCAAACGGAGGACTACCTTGTCATGATGGAAAACACATAAGTCTTGCCAGGTTGACAAAGCGGCCAGCTCGGAGATGCGACGGGCGGATGTAACCGCCACCAAAAACGACACTTTAAAGGAGAGAAATTTCAAGGAAGTCGTCCAGAGAGGTTCGAAGGGTGATTGAGTGAGGGAGGACAAAACCTTTGAGAGATCCCAGGTAGGGAAACGGTGAATGACCGGAGGGCTCAGGTTTGAAGCGCCCCGCAGAAATTGGCGGATCAAGGGATCCTTGGTAACAGTTGTCAGAGAAGCACATGCAGAGACGGAAGCCAAGGCCGCAACCTGTCGCTTCAGAGTATAAGGGGCAAGGCCGGAGTCGAAGCCGTCCTGGAGAAAACCGATGACGTGCTCCACCGAAGGCGAAGTCGGGCAAACCTGGCGGGCCGAGCACCATGATGAAAAGGAGCGCCAGGTAGACTCGTAAATACGAGCGGTGGAAGGGCGCCGCACGGCCTGGATGGTTCTAATGGCGGCAGGAGGAATATTGGCCCTCGTCAAGAATCCCTGCTCAGTCTCCAAACGGTTAGTTGTAGCCATTGAGGCTCGGGATGGACCAGAGCCCCTTGTAGAAGACAAATTCAATCGTCTGGTATTCGCCATGGACTGGCCGTGGACAGGGAGACCAGGTCCGAAAACCAGGGCCGGCGGGGCCAGTGTGGAGCTATGACGACCAGCTCCGACTTCTCTGCTAGGAGTTTCCTGAGGACCTTGGCGATGAGTGGCAGGGGAGGGAAGGCATAAAGAAGCACCCCCCGAGGCCAGGGAGAGTGAAGGGCATCCTCCGCTTCTGCCCCTGGGAACGGAAATCTGGAAAGGAAACGAGGAACCTGATGGTTGACGTGGGAAGCGAACAAGTCCACCTCGGGAAGACCAAAGCGGTGAGAAAGCTCCAGGAAGAGATCAGGGTGAAGTTGCCATTCAGAATGGTCCACCAAATTGCGACTAAGAGAATTAGCCTGAATGTTAGACTTGCCAGAAATGTGAGAAGCCCGTAGAGAGGCCAAATGAGACTCAGCCCAGAGGCCGAGTTGTAGGGATTCGTGGAAAAGGGACCTAGAGCGGGTACCACCCTGTCTATTAACATGGGCCTTGGCGGAGACATTATCGGTTAACACAAGAATGTGCTTACCCTGAAGTAAGGGAAGAAAATGACGTAAGGCAAGGAAAATCGCCCGTAATTCCAAAAGATTAATAGAAAAATCCCTCTCCGCTTCAGTCCAAAGACCCTGAACCATATGGGAATCTAAGTGTGCACCCCAGCCGGAAAGGCTCGCATCGGTAGTAAGAACAGACCGATGAGGTTCCCTAAACAAGGTACCATTGGCAAGTGCCGAAGAAGACCACCACCTTAAGGAGTCCAAAACCTTCGAAGGAAGGGAAACTTTGCGCAACGAGGAAACAGACAGAGAACGCTGAAAGGGGAGGAGGAACCATTGGAGGCGCCTGCTATGCAAACGGGACCAGGGGACGATGTCGAAGGAGGACACCATTTTGCCCAGAAGACGAGAAAGGACGAGGACCAACACCGGCCGGCCTTCCAGGCATTGGGAAGCCAGGTCAGATAAACTGGACTGGCGTGACGGTGAGAGAAACACCATAGATGAAACAGTGTCTATGACAGCCCCTAAATGCTGACGGGTTGAGGGGGTCAGAGAACTTTTGGCCCAATTGATTAGGAAACCATGAGATTCAAACAAACGGATAGAAGTTGAAACATCCTGCTGAGCCCCGGGAAGGAAGGAGGAGAGGATAAGAATATCATCCAGGTAGAATAAAATACGAATGAGGAGGGACCTAATATGGGCGACGAGGGCCGCCATCAACTTAGTAAAGACCCTGGGAGCCGAAGAGAGGCCAAAGGGGAGAGCCCTATATTGATAATGAGAGCCCTTAAAATAAAAACGGAGGAATTTGCGGTGGGGTGGAAAAATGGGGACGTGCAAATAGGCCTCGGTTAAGTCAACCGAGGCAAGGAAGTCACCCTGACGAATGCACTCCAAAATGGTTTGCAGGGAGTGCATCTTGAACCTGCGGTAGGTTATGAAGCGGTACAATGACTTCAGGTCCAAAATGGCACGCCAGCCCCCAGAGGACTTGGGGACCAGAAACAGACGGGAGTAGAAACCGGACCTGCGCTCCGAAGGAGGAACAGGCTCGATGGCCTTGATCTGAAGAAGATGGGCAACAGCAGAGGCCATACGGGCACGGGAAGAAGGGTCCTGAGATACCGAACAAGGGACAAAAACTCTAGGAGGGGAACAACTAAATTCCAAACGAAGACCCTCCCTAATGGTAGAACGAACCCAAACATCAGAGGTAGTGGCATCCCAGGCATTGGAGAAAAGGGAAAGGCGGCCACCCACCAGGGAGTCTGGAGGCTGATCAACGAGGCTTGCGGAAGGGGTGACCTCTGCCGCCACGGAATGACCTTCTGGGAGGAAATCTAGAACTGGATCTGACCTGAAAGTCTTGATTTTGCAAACCCCTGGAGAAGTTGTGAGAGGAGCGGTTGAAGGAGGAGCCACTGTCAGAGGGACGAAAGGACTGGTTCCGGTAGGTTGGTTGACGAAAGTCCGACCTGCGAGACAAGACTGGAAAAACCTTCTTGTGATCTCTGGTTTCAACCAATATAGGATCGAGAGAAGAACCAAAAAGACTATTAGTCTCATAAGGGGCAGCTGCTAGGCGCCATTTATTCCTGGCATTGGCTTGCCAGTGGCGGAGCCAGAGGAGCCTCCTGGAGGAGACAGAAGATCCAATAGCCTTGGCTGCGAAATGGGCCGTGTTCAGGGTAGCATCAGCCGAGAATTCGACCGCAGCAAGAATTTTATTAATGTCTTGGTGAGAACGTGTGTCAGAAGCTGGAATGCGATCCTGCAGCTGCTTCAGCCAGAGAATGGAGGCCCTGTTGAAGAAAGAAGCTGCCGAGGCGGTCCTTACCGCCCATGCAGAAGCTTGATGTCCTTTAATTAGGGTTCGCTCAGCTCGTTTGTCCTCAGGGCGCAGGGATTCCTCAGGAGGACCAGCAAGGTGGGTGGAAGAGGCTAAGGCTACAACTGGTGCATCCACTACTGGCACCTGTAACAAGTCAGAGAAGTAGTCATTAGTAATAGCATAAAGCTTCTTATCCTGAGAATTGGGCAAGGGGCCAGTGCCCGGGGAAGCCCATTGCCTCTTCACCACATTGAAGAAAAGTTTTGGTGCTGGTAAGGTGTCCACTCTGGCAGGCTGTTCTGCAAAAAGAGAAGCAGATGGATCATCAGAGGCTGAAGTAGTAGCCTGGGAAGCAGAAGCTGGTAACATTTTAGTAACAGAGAGAGCTTTGAAGAGTAGAGAGCGAAAAAGGTGGGGTTTGAAAAGGCCAATGAAAGCTGGCTGGTCAGGCTCAAGGCCCTCATCATCAGACCACTCCTGGTCTAGGGCAAGGTCTTCAGCAGAAAGAGAGACCTGGCTAGCAGAGGTTGGAGAGGAAGGTCTATCCAGATGGGGCGAATCCTCCCTCCTATGCGACAAATGGCTGACATGACTGGCACAATCCGACACCACCGACTCTGCACGCTGGTTGAGGCCTTCCGATATCCCCTGGCGAATCGCTGTTGCAATGAGGGAAGCCAGGGCAGGTGAAATTGTGGCTGGCAGAGAATCAGAACTAGCAGAGGGGGGAGAGGGGGGAGGAGGAGGAGGGGGGAGGGGGAGAAGAAGGGGGCTGACAGTCAGATTGAACTGAATCCCCTCGTGCCTGTGAGACAAGGCTGTGACAGTGGCCATCTTGGGGCAGCGTGGCAAACAAAATGGCTGCTGTGCTGGAAGAGGGAGAAGCCCTCGAGTCAATACCTACGAGACCGTCTTTTGCCACCAATAGCCTCCCACCGACCAGTTCGTTCTCACAGGGAGGGACTACTCAGGGTACCGTCAGCCAAATTATGTCGACTGGCGACTCCCAGGGGGAGGGCCTTCTCTGTGGGGGCTCCAACCCTTTGGAATGAACTGCCCCCGGAGATACGGAATATCCCTGATCTCTGTGCTTTCCGCCGTGCCCTCAAGACCCTGATGTTCCAACAGGCAGGGCTAAACATACAAACATGCGAATGATTTTTTAAATGTTATCTAATTCTGGGTTTTATTTAATTGACCAAACTAAGTGGCAATTTTAATTAGCAATTTTGTGGTGTTTGTGTGTCTATGTTTTTCTTGACTGTACACCGCCTTGAGTCCTACGGGAGAAAGGCGGTATAGAAATATAATAATAAATAATAAATAAATAAATTCGATCGGAGAAAGTGATTCCCTGTGGGAGGCCTGGGGCTGGGCATG